AAAGAGGCTTGCAGTTCGTTTAATGTTGCTAACTATATGAGGTAGTGATGAAACGAAAAGACACACGGAAGTTGCATACTTCGTTAAAGTATTTCATTCAGAGTGAATCGCCTTGCAAGATTGACTGAATAAGCCATGCCATGTTAGTGTTTTCGCGATGCCCTGTATAATGTGATATGCAGGCTGGCGAGGCGTATTTAAAATAGGTGAAAAAGTTCCAGTGTTTCGGCGACGTGTTTTGAGCAGTGATAAAAGATAAGGATAGGAAGAGAGGTCGATCGACGGATAGAACGTTAGTGGAATCTGTATTTAAATCGATTTGTATGCCTACGCTCCCGCGAGGCAATGAGTCATTCGTAATGGCCAAAAACTAGATCCTGAGAACAAGCATTCGACAGTGCGTTGTTCATGAGGAAAATTACTCGGCTGGCGTGTGTCGGCCAAGGTCGCCGCCGCCTCAGACATCAGAAAAATTCCTCCTCTAATCCAACTGATAATTTTCACGATTGAATGGTGGATTTGTTTTCCGAATGCCGCTGTTAACGGCTATTCATCGCCTGAATGACAGACGAAGAACAGCGTGGAAGACTCAGCCTGACTGGGAGTACATAAGCCCAACGAAACTTGCTCTTTGCTCGAAGTGCTTCAGACGTTCGTTAACCGTTGTGACGAGAAGGTGAACTTTGATAACATCACCTGAGCATCATCCGGAACCGATTCACTACTGAGCTCAGTAACAGTACAGACACGTGTTTGACTGAAAATGCTTTTACCGTTGTACGTTATCACATGAACGACATGGCGTCGTGGCAAGCATTTACGGCTCTGGAGATTAGTTCATCCTTACGTTCGGCGCCATCAGGAACATTCGTATCGATGACATTGCCGATCAGCATGGGAATGAGTGACAGGAGCATGTACGCGTTTTGACGAAAGCATCGGCGATACTGTCGCCGGACGTTGCCCAGGGTCAGCTGAGGCATCGGCCCGACCCTTTCGATCAGGCGCGTCAAGTAATGTTGTAGAATTGCCTCCTCGATCGCCCGACGACGAGGGGTCGACAGTGCGCCGCACAGGAAATGAGCCACGTCCTCGAGACTGCTGCCGATGCAGCACGCTTGCCAGTCGATCAGAGCTTTAACCTTGTTCCCGGCCTGGCCGCTTTCGTTCCTTTCGAACAGAATGTTGTTCGACCACAGGTCACCATGAACCAACACGGCCGGCATGAGTTTCACCGTCGTCACGTACCACTCGTGTAACGTGTTTCGTGACAGGAAACTTTCGATGACATCGAATTCGTCGCAACTCATTTTGTCGCTGGTCATCTTCCTCGCCTCGGCAAGTCCGGCTCGTAACATTACTGTCACGTCGACGTTCTGAAGCTTACTCATTCTGGTAGGTATTCTGTGTTGCCAGTCGACGGTT